GAATGTTCTTACATATGTTTAGAATCTTCAGTACAATTTTTTAATCGATTCACTAAAGCGTTCATAAGGATTTTAATTTGCTCCGAATTAACATGTGTTCTTATGGGAAACGTACCACATCGATTCAAATGACAAAAACACATGGAAAGAATATTTAGAATTTGTTTAAAATTTGCAAAAGTGTAGTTTAGATACAGAGGAAATTTGGTCAAATAATATTATACAAGTAATATTATACTAACTGATTAAAAAGATATTAAATATAATTCAATGAAGTTAGTCATGTATCTGTCACAAGGTAAAATACTCTGCCAATGATGATTTCGTGATTTTTAAAAAGCTTTTGATCAATTAGAATTCGTATTCTGCCCAACTTTAATTTTTTGGTACTTTGGATTAACTTTTGAGACAGACGGTCCGTCCAATACATCCTTAAAATGCACATGCAAGAAAATTCTGGTTGCGTTTAGAAGGTTTTCATAGAGAAAAAAAAAACGAAGCCAATATTAAGCATGCTTTGTATGTACAATCCCAGCAAAAATTAGCTGAAAATCAGTATTGACAAATATATCCACTTTTGGTGTATTTTGAATATGAAAAATTGCGTGGAATATTACAATGATCTTAATTTGATCTTAGCTACAGTGCAGAGATATATTTTTTAATATTTATTGTGTTTTTACTGAAATATTCCGAATTTTGTTAATCGAAATGATTAACTTTTGGCAGAGCATTTTACCTTGTGACAGATACATGGCTAACTTCATTGAATTATATTTAATATCTTTTTAACCAGTTAGTATAATATTACTTGTATAATATTATTTGACCAAATTTCCTCTGTATCTAAACTACACTTTTGCAAATTTTAAACAAATTCTAAATATTCTTTCCATGTATTTTTGTCATTTGAATCGATGTGGTACGTTTCCCATAAGAACATATGTTAATTCGGAGCAAATTAAAATCCTTATGAACGCTTTAGTGAATCGATTTAAAAATTGTACTGAAGATTCTAAACATATGTAAGAACATTCTGTACAATTTTCATTAAATTCTCAATATTTTGAAAATAGGTACTAAACATACTTAAGAATGTATTGGACGGACCATCTGTCTCAAAAGTTAATCCAAAGTACCAAAAAATTAAAGTTGGGCAGAATACGATTTCTAATTGATCAAAATTTTTTTAAAAATCACGAAATCATACTTCAAAGTATTCTTTAATATAAATTGGTCTTAATTTCCTTAAGAAAATGATGCCACGTTTTATCATCAATATTGCGTCAAACCGATAATCAGTTATTTTTTAATAATAATTTCAAAACGAGCAAGTAAATCGTTTTAAAACTTTGTGGGAACATTTTTACATGTATGAAGAATATAATATTACAAAATGAAATTTTTATCATTGTTTTTTTATAGTTTGTGAATAATTTGTTACCTGTCTTTTGTACGTTTACATAAGATCCTATGTTAAAATCGCAAAATTCAAAAATTAATAATTTTTAAAGGAGCAAGTAAAAAAAATTGAAATAATTCATGACGATTTAGAATGTTAAATTAAAAATTCACGGCGATCTCATTGATTGTAATATATTTTCAATACATCCTTAAATTCGTTGTAATGCATCTCAAAAGCTTCCTAGCAACGCTAAAGGTACGCACATATATAATTACACATGCGAACGACGCGCTTCCGGAAACGACGAGTAACCCTTAGGGATATCTTGTTATAACTACTATGAAACAAGGAGAAAGAGGCGATTATGATTGTAGACAAGTCGTGTGAGGTAACACGCGGGCGGCGTGCTTGCTACGGTTGACGCACCTCGTCCTCACCCTCACGGTAAACGGAAACGTCGCGAAAGCCGACGACGGAGCTAGTAACGCGAATGAAGGGAAAAGGCAAGGGTGGCTGTCAGATACGCGCGCCGAGGGTGGCCGTCTCTGGGACAACAGGGTTGGGCACGGGGTGTGGCGAGGACGCATGCGTCGGACCCGGCCGTCGGGGCTGTCGTGTCGCTCTCTACCGACGGTCATGCCAGTCGTCGTGACGACTTCGAATCGTCGTCGTCGAGAGCGTCGTGTTTTTAATTCGTCTTCGTACTCGCGCTTCGAGTCCTGCTTTTCTCTCTCTCTCTTTCTCTCCTTTTCATTCTCTGTCATTCCAGCAGTATCTATTTCGCGCGCGCATGCGAGTCGTGACGTTCGCACGGTCTTTTGAATCGCCGGCGTATTCGCGCCGCGGGTGTCGTCGTCGACCGGGATTTTCGCGGATAAACGTCCGTGGTGCGTGAGACGACGTAGGTGAGCGAGATTCGCAAAGTAGTGCTGAGTCTCTACGTAGTTGTCTTACCTCGTCGCACGCGGACTCGGACACACAGGTGCGCGAGTGGCCGCGGCATCCTTCTCGGTGTCGTCGTCGTCGTTGCGATTAAAGATGCTCCATGATTGTATCGAGAGTGGATGGCTTCGACACCTTCGTCCGATGCCAGAAGTGAGTGTCACGTTCAATTACATGTGCGAAGTTTTCGGGATCTGAAGAATATGAATATATTTATCAAAGACGGCCATAAAAAATTAAAGAAGAAGAAGAAGAATATATTTATCGCGGAGGAGATATAACCTATTAATAGAAATAATTAATAGTAGAAATAATTAAGAGGAGTAATAATTTTTTAAATAATTTTATTAAATATAAGATGTAACTGCGAGAGATAGATTTTTCATTTTCATCTTACATGCTTCCAAAGACAGGTCCGACTATTTGAATATTAGAATCTACGGCAAAAAAAGATGGCTGCGCGACAATAAAAATATCAATCTCACTAATATCATTATCTCAATGCATATTATAATTTATTGTTACAAACGCACTCTGTCTATCGCGCAGTTTATAACATAATCTGATTTAAATTTTATTTACATTTGTATTAAATTTCGCGAATCGCATAGAGAGAGAGAGAGAGAGAGAGAGAGAGAGAGAGAGAGAGAGAGAGGGAGAGAGAGAAGTTACTTAGAATATTTAAAGTCGAATAAAAACAATATAATATAATAATAATGATGCGATTGCATCATTATTTTCTTTTCTTCTATAGAATAAATAAGAAGAATCATATAGTGAACGTATGCGCCCATGAATCGATACTGTATTTCCGTAACATATGGTACGTATCGAATAGAATAGTATAAAATACAAATCTATGTTATCCGAATAGATTGTATTCGGATAGATCACTGTCACAGGAATGTAAAGTTTTTTCATAAACGAAAAAGATGCGATTTTTCTTTCTGTGAAATGTGTATCTTCCTGTGACTAATATATCATTTTTATATTACAGTCAAATTTGATATTTCGAGTAATTTCAAGATGATGTTTTACATAGAATATATAAAATATGTATAATACATAGAAAGGAAGAAAAATAGCTGTCATGTATAGGATACTTCCATTTTTCTTAACAGATATGTGAGATTTACTAATGATAATATTTCTTCTCTCATCTGGTAAGGATAATAAATAAATAAATAAATATGCATATATATATATATATATATATATATATATATATACACACACACAGGGTGTTCCCGGGTTAAATGGCCAAACTTAAAATATAAATTTGGGACCTCAAAACAAGCAAAAATTTCCTCTGGAAGTTTGCTCGCAAACGCTTCGTTCAAGAGATATCGACAGAAGATGGGTGGCAAAAATTTGACCTTGGATAGTCATTTGAAGGTCACATAAAGGTTACCTTCAATTTCTTAAATGGAACCCCCTATTTTTCATTGCATATTTTTGTAGCTTATCTCGAGAGCTTTCCAAAACACTACAATTAAGTACCTCTTCATTAAGTACTTTTTGAGTTATAAGGCTTGAAATAATTTCTTAATTTTACATAAACCATAAAATATCTAGTAAACCATTCATTTTTCGATTATTTTACCTTCATACTTTTATGTACAAAATAATGAGAGGAATCAATTGGTGTAAAGAAAACACATAGTTGTTTCTAAGAAAAAATATGTAATTATTAATTGCAAATTACATTCTTAGAAAAAATATGTAATTTGCAATTAACAATTGGGGTGGATAAATTAAAATGGCTCACCCTGTATATGTAATAATTATGATGGAGGGATTTCAACATGTACATATAAAATTTTATATATATATATATATATATATATATATATAATAATTTTATAATAATTTATAAAATGATGATAGTTTATATTGCGACGTCATATTATGCGCAAATTAAAATTCCACGATAAAAGAAATGACATCGATGATAAACTCGATCGGACAGTGACTCGTTGTAATGCAATATCGCGGTAGTTTAACACTCGCATGTAACCGTCGTACTTTAGCTGTTGCAGTTCACGCGGCTACGTCATTTCCTTCTTCCGTCTAGCATCGGGTCGTCTATGTAACTTCGTTGGACGAGTAAACAGAAATGTATGCATAGGCTCGATAGTACTTTTCGTGGCGTTATACTAAAACATCTCGATATATATGTATGTATGTACACACACACACACACACGAAGAATACTGCACCATTACACTCTTATATACGCGACATAAGAGGAAATGTTGTTGCAACGTCTGTATCTGTCAGTTTACATCTTTGTCGATATATCGCGTGCCTTGGAAGAGCCGTTTATTCGTTTATTCAGGCTCGTGTATATTGAAAACTTGAATAAACAAGTGGTGACAACGACAGAAACAAGGCAACGGAGACACTTTAGCTATATTTAATTTTCAATAGATCTCATGTTTTTTTATTTTTATTTTTTTTATTTTGATCTTTTTTCGCTTTCCCTTATATAGAATTGTACCACACCCTCTCTGCTTTTGACACTTTAGTATCGAATTACTGTCTCTTGGTTCATTTACAACAGGAAAATATGTGGTCTATTAGGGAAGCTATCGCATATACGATTCATCGATCATTCGGTCCATCCTTATTGCTCTCTTTGTGAGTAAATTATTCTAATTAGTTTGCTTAGCGATGAGCCCTAACAATCGCAAATGCGTGTAAATGAAGAATTGAAAGAAACAAAGAAGAGAAATTTAAATAATTATTCGGTGGTAATAATTTAAATTTTCTTTCTCTTTCTTTATTTATATGTAATATATCTTCTCCCGCTGCTTCATCTTATTTTGAGTGCTACTGATCTATCCACGATTATATAGGGTGAGCCATTTTAAGTTACCCACCCTAATAACTTTTTTATTTTTGAATGTACAACAAAATGTTTCAAATAAAAGTTGCTTGACTTCGAGGGGGACAGAAGATGGTGTCAAAAATTTGACCTTGGATAGTCATTTGAAGGTCACATAAAGATCACCTTCAATTTCTTAAATGGAACCTACTATTTGTCATCGCATATTCTTGTAGCTTACTTCGAGAGCTTTCCAAAACACTATAATAAATTATTTTTCCATGAAGTACTTTTCGAGTTATGAGGCTTGAAATCATTTCTTAATTTTACATAAACCATAAAATATCTAGTAAAATATTCATTTTTCGATTATCTTACCTTAATACTTTTATGTACAAAATAATGGGAGGAATCGATTGGTGTAAAGAAAACACATAGTTTCTTCGAAGAAAAAATATGTAATTTGCAATTAAGAATTACATATTTTTTCTCAAAAACAATTAAAAACTTAAAATGGCTCACCCTGTATAGGAATATATGATTTCGAAGGAAAGTTAAAAAATTCTTATTCATGCACTTTAATATTCTCGATGTACACTCGAAATTTTCTCACGATTTATTACATTTTTTATCTCTTCTTATTAATCGCTGCGATGTCTTATCTAATTAGGCGATGGTAAAGCAACGTTACGGACGAATAATTACTACAAACTAGTAATTATAATTGAAGCAGACGTCTCAGACTTCCCAAGATTATTTCAGATTCAGACTTTCCACGTTCTTTGTATGAATGACACATTTATTTTTATATCACTGTACATCGTGTTAATTATTACATATTAATTAATTATCGTATTATATTATGGTCAAAAATCTATAGTAATTCATAGTAATATCCGTATTTTTCATATTTCAAAGGCTTCATATTATAATTTCAAAGGCTTCATAGAATAATGTAATTATTGTACAAAAATATGATACACATTGTGCATTTGTGATGTGATTCGCGTAATAAGAAAATTCATTATGCTTCGAAAAATTCCACGTTACGTGAATATCAGCTGTAATATCATACGGGAAAAAAAGGCAGCAAATTACGATAACGAAGCACCGAAGATCGGTTAACCAGCTAATTTTATTATCGAGTACAGCCAGTAAATTGCATTCTTATTCCCCCGTTAAGATTAACTTTTTGCTCTTATTAATCCGGGAAACTCTCGATTGCCGTTTCAAGCGCACTATTGATCTTTTTCTTCGTTATATCGTGCTTATTTATTTTCATAATCGAAGTAATTTTCGTTATAATCCATTTTTATAGTTTAAAAAGAAATTATGATATAATAATATTATATACAACATTATGATATAATAACATTAAATTATGATATAATAACATTATATACAATAATAAATTTTTTTTAAAATTTTATATGTAATATATTACATAGTGTATATGCATGTGTATGTGTTATAAAATAATAAAAAAAATAATAACGTAGGAAATAAGGGAATAAAAAAATTTTTAAATAATTTCATTTCAGAGGTGCTAAACTTTATATAGATTTCGAGACATGTACTCTGATCACTTCAAATCGCTAATCGAATTGTACGGACGACAGAACTTCTCGGCCGCGAGAGATTGAAATTTGGTCCGGTTTAATCCATGGCAACCGAACAGTAAGAGGATTTTATCGGCAATAAAAGAACATCATAAGACCAGATGAATAATTGTCGAGATCAGCGCTAGAAGGAGCAATCGCGTTAAATATGAAAAATCCCTGTGCAAATTTCGGAACTTTCGTATCAAGAATTTTTCATAAATTTTTCTTAACCTAACTTAAAACCGTTTATACGTTGATTATTAGAAGCGTTTTTATGGTGGACGATAAATTTTTACTGTCTCTCGGACGGTGCGATATGGCGCTTTCTGTACTAAGAATACCTAATATCGATTAACCTTGCGACTAGTGAGAATGTTCCTGTAATACTTCTCTCTATGTTTTTTGCTACGTAATTAAAAATTCTCTATCCTGCTATTGGACTCCATTTAATGCTAATGATATAATTACTATGCATAATCCATGATACGCTTTCATGATTTCCTTAAAAGACGTATCAATGTATACGTATACATATATCAGGCTGGTTCCAGAAAGATTTAAAAGCTTCTTTTTATACAGATATTTTTATGAATTGTAAAAATGCAAAATATATTTACTATTATAATATTCTTTACAAGTTGAAAGTTTGTTTTTTTAATTTTCTCACACGGTTTATATTTTAAAAAATTTCATTAGATTTAATTTACGATTTTAATTCCTATTTT